AACGGCGCCGTAAAATTAGTGATAAGGATTTTTTTTATTTTTTATTTTTATTTTTGAAAATTATAAGTAGATTTTAACAAATTCTTTGTAAAATCTTATAATTTACCTTAAAATAAGTAATTTATACGTTGCTTCTCTTTCTGTGTTTTTGAGTTTGGGGGCGGGGGGCCGTGGCAGTGGTAGAGGCGTCGGGTTGTGGTTTATACGTTCATCTGTTTTTTTGGAATTACGAAAAGGTCCTCGCGTATAGGGCTTTCAATGACTAATTTACCCCTAATTTTATATGGTAGAGATTGGGAGAGGTCAGTTATAAAAACAATAAAAGATATTTTGTATGTATCTGAGCCTCATTATTTTGAAAAAAAGTATTTTGAAATAGTAGATTGATGAAAAATGTGTAATTAAAAAATGAAAAAAAATTTTGAATTTGCGTATAATATTAATTTATTAAAGAATTTGTGGTTGAGATAATATCAAATCACTGTTTAAAAATATATTTTTTGAATGAATGTGACTCAAACAGGGCCTTATATATGTCGGTCCTACGTGGAAATTCGATACACAATAGAAAAGTCCGTGTGACCAAAGTATGTCGAGATTGCATGCAAAAGAACATTGTTTCAAGGTTATGTTTTGCATTGCTGTGAAAACCAATGTATACTATAAATGATGCTAGATACACTCAAAAGGTTCTAATTGAGATGTACTAAATCGTGTTAGTAATATTTTAGGGATAGTTATACTCTTATAATGTCTATGATGTGCATTGTATAATACAATATTACTTTTGGAAACTCAAACATTATATACACTTAAATCATTGTGTAACTCCATTATGTTTAACAAGCATTATTTTTACTAACCATATACCGATGCATGTTTCTTCCTCCCTCTAACTTTGTCTCTTTTATGTCCCGCCTCGTTCCTAAGAAGGGTTAGCTTGGCTTTATTCACTGACTCACTCAGTCAAATAAGCAAGCCAAGCATGAGTTATATTATTGTCAATTTTCAAGAACAGCTCTTTCCACTGGCTCGCCTATTAGTGGGACCAGCTACTCGATCATTAATTTTATTTTTTTCAAAAGCTAATTTTAGTTTTTTTTTTATGCAAAAAATTGTGGAGAATTAGACAAGTAAAATCGTCGATTTAAGTATTTGAACTATTGAGAAATTGGTTAAGATCCTACTTGTGTTCACAAATTTATTGTTTATCACCTTAAATGTTAATCTTGGATACCATATATGGTGTACTTTCAATTTATCTCACTTTCCCACATTTTTAATTAGTTGTGCTCATAGCATTAATCTTCGAATAGTGGTATAAATAAATGAAAAAAGCTGAATTTAGGAGTGAATTGAGAAACAGAAAAAATAATAGTATACGAAAATCCAGAAGAATGTAGATAAAGAAAATAGAGAAGTGTGAAGAAATTATTCAGAATGTATCCCTATTTTCAGACGAAAAACCCACAAAAAGAAAATGACAATGAAAATTTTGAAACTTTAATTCAATTTCAAAATAGGCAGGTGCCATTACATCAAGGTTGCTTTTGCAACCAAATTGGGCCACTAGTCCCTTGAGCCCGCCTAGCTAGCCAGCAAGCGGCTCGCACCAAAAAAAAACTTGGGGGTAGTCTTGAGTTCCCAAGAAACAATTTGCAAATTTGAACACACATTCTTAGATCAAACATTGCATTTCCTCTTCCATGCCAAACCACAAGCACAGAATATATAGCCTCTATTTGGCCCCATTAAATTTCATTTCATTATATTTTATTTTTCTCTCTCCTATTTTCAACCACACAATCTTCCATAAAATAATATTACACATAAATAAAAAACTTTTCATTCTTTTTCAACCACTCATTTTTCAAAAAAATACTATTCCACCCATTTTCATTTCCAGAAAATGGGGGCCAAACGGGGGCATAGGATACATTCATTAATTCGAATTTAGACATCAGATTTACACATGAAACTAAAATTTGAAGTCTTTCCTTATCGTATTTCGTATTCTGCAAAAAGATACACAATTTAATAATACATTTTGTTGAATCATGACTTGAACCTTGCATATATAGCCATGTAGCCAATAGGAGATTGTAATGAGGCAATATTTTCAGCAAACCAACACACTATACACAACTCTAACGAGACAACACTATTCATTATTACCAGAAACACCTCACTGACATTGATAAAATCTCTCTCAAAAGGAATGGCAATCCTTATAATGTAAATCTTCATTTATCGGAGTAAGCCAATCCCTTCGTCCCTCAATGTGCCCATATATCAAAACTACCTGTAAATTGTTGTCCTTGAGAAAGGTAATAAATGCTATGGACAGCAAAAGTAGATTTCAAATTTGGCTAAGCTTGAAAAAGCATGCAAAAACACTATGCTTTTCAGAAAAAATTACTTTTAAGCTTAGCCAAACATGTTACATTTGTTTAGCCATGAGAAACTTACATTTGATTTCATGGTAATGCAAACCTTAATCGATCTTTGTGTCGATTTACAATTTGATCTTTTGGAGATGTTTTTGCTACCCCTGCCTGCCGCATAAGTTCTGCAATATGCAATGCAAAATGCAAATCTTGAACTGGCTCTTAAAAGTGACATTTATCCAACAATCAATCAATTAGACATTTATGCAAACCATCGTTTTACCTAGAATTAATTTCTCATTAACGTTGAGTAAACCTCATTTATACTCGAAGTTAAGGCATTGTACAACAATATAAGAACCTCCAAACAGGATTGCCAGCCTAAGCATAGAGCAGAAGCACAACTACTGATTTATATTTATACTGACATCATAGTATGTAGCAATGTGACCTTAACACTAAAGTCCCGAAGCAGGGAGTTTTTTCCCTTCTCTCCATTTGATGGGAAATGAGGAAAATAGAAGAAACTACAAAGCATAGAACGTCTAGAGGCCAGTTGCTATATAGGGAGCAGAAGCTCGTGTACTCAAGTTTAGGTGAATTAACAAGAGAAAACTAAACAAAGGCATCAATAAGAGCAATATTTACCAGTTCAGCCAAATAATAAGAGCAAACTATGCTTGCAAGTGACTACAATTTCATTTACAGAAATGAAAAACATTAGAGTCTAGAATTGTGATATTTCAAGGGCATTTCTTCCAAACAAGTAGGAGTTGTGTATGCTGAAGTGAACATATTTGCTAGCATTCGATATGCTGAAGTCAACATATTTGCTAGCATTCGATATAAGTCATCAGAATACACAACGGAATCAAAGAAAAGCTGCATTTAAAAAGTTGATGCAATCCACATATGGAAATTATGAATTATTTTTGGTAGTTTAAGCTTTCATTATTTTATGGTAATTTTAGATTTTTCTCATTGATTAAAGTTTTCCTTGTGGTAGTTTTTTCAATTATTACCTTAGATTAGGTTTTTATTATGATAGTTTATAATTTTCTTATTCTATTTCATTGCATGAATAAGACCACCCAGGTCTTCTTAAAGGTGAGATTAATGAAATAATAAATAGAGAGCTATCATTTATGTGTCCAAATTCTTGGTATTTTGCTGAGCGAATGAGTCTTTGATGTTGGACATTCATGAGTCAAAACATGAACTAGAAGGTTGTTCGTGATTTCCGTGCTCTAGTGCTTCCGTAAACGCTTCATCAAAAATCCTAATCATATGTACATAGAACTTGCCTCGTTTCCTCTCAAGCTCTTCAACAAGCTCTTCTTTCCACTTCCTTTCTCTCTCGAAGAAGCTAGCACTACAACCAAACATACACAATGTCTAGTTACAGAAAAAGTGAAATTTACCTACAAATATATATTTCAAAGCAAGCAATGGTAGTGTTCACAGACCGTGGAGTAAGCGGTTCACACTGAGAATCAAGTTCTTTGCCTGGAGAAGCTCGATAATTTATATCTCCAATGTTTGACACGCGCCTGGAACAACTAATGGGGCTCGGGCTATTCTCAACATCAAGAGCAGCAGAAAGTCTTCTGCTAACCATTCTACTTGGTGACCTGCTTTTTGGAGGTAAGTTGCTTTTACTTGAAACATTTTCCTTTCCAACAGGACTTAGAGGGCCGACAACATTCAAGGAATTGTAGAATTCTTCATATAGAGGTGTTTGCAGCTTCTTGAGCTCTAAAGCCTAGAAGAAATTAACAAATCAAGTTTATATAAGATCTCAATTCCACTACATTCCTCAGATTAAATAGATGCATTAGAGAACTTGTCAGGCGTCTCTAGCTAATTATAGAAGAAAATATAAGCATATAAAATTAGTACCTTTTTATCAAGGAATTCCCTAATCCTTGACTCAGTTGCTTCATCTTCATCTTCAGATGCTGGTCCTCTTGGAAATGTGAAGCCACATTCCATATCACCAGAAACATGGGATCTATTTTCGTGCTCCATATTTTGACTGGAAAGCAAGTCATTTCCACTTCTCTTCAACTCTGGACTTTCATCAAACTTACACGGCAAATCATTACTAGGCTCACACATAGGGTTAAAGCTCTGCATTCAGAAACAATTCCCAATCTTCATTAGCTTGTAAGGCAGAAAACATCATAATTTGGGATGTAGAGTCAGAATACTAGTTAGACAACTTGCTACCTGATTATAATCACGAGAAAGTAGATTAGCTGGTGTACCAAAAACCAGATCATCACTGTCATCTATTTGACACATATCATCATCAGAGTTAACAGGCTGCCAAAAGGACCGACTTTGTGATAGCTGGTTGGGATATACAGTTGAGCATCTCACAACATCCCCATCATTTACATCCTTCAGATCATTGTAGGTCATCTTTGTCTCTACATTCATTCTACAATGTGAAAAGAAATCTCAGGAATCAAAATTGATTCCACTGACATCTAAAAGAAATACAAACCCTTCGCAAGAAAAATGCTTACGACTTCTCAAGGTCAAATCCAAGCTCTGCCATTTGCTTTCCAGAGCTGCCCTGCTGAGACTGATAAGTTGATATTACCTAGGCAATACTGTAAATAAAGCTATAAAACGTAAACCAAGAAACAAACATCTGCTTACCACAGGTGAAGGGCGAAATACAAGACGAGATTCCTGACGTTCACCAGTAACAAATGGATGCTGCAGATGACAATCAAAGAGAAAAATGCAGTTAACAGAAACTTCATGGCATTATGCTTCAACTATTTCAAAGCCAAGAACTCTTTCACCACAGCATAAAGTGCAAAGTAAGTCTCCTATTCGAGTCGTTTGTGCTGTAGTCACTGAGAAAGTAAAACCACAGCTCAACATTACCTTCAATAAATCTGATGCAGTTGGCCTCAGGTCTGGTTCCCTGCCACAATTAAGTGAAGAGTAAAGAAAAAATGAGGGAAGAAAAGCGTAAAGAAGGATTCAACAGTCACTTGAATCTTTCCAAGCACGCTACGACTACAACTAAAATATCCCATTAAAGCATTTCGAAAGGATAAAATGCTTCATAGAAGAAGAAACAAGAAAATATAACTCAAGAACATACTTCTGTAAACATTTTAGTAAGAAGTCCTTTGCGTCAGCAGAAAGATGCTCAGGTATTGGTGGATGAGATTTGGTTGTACCTATGTAAAAGATTGCAGCAACCTAAAGATGACAAGACTGTTAGAGAGTATAAAGTAACTGACAACATATGAACTCATAGCCAAACCTTACGAATGGTATATTCACAACTACACTAAAACATAACTTGTGTACCTCCTGATACTGCTGGCTCCAAGGAGCTTTTCCTGTAGCCATCTCAATGACAGTGCATCCAACGCTCCATATATCAGCAGAACTGAAGATTTATGTCAAAAATTTTAATGTTGCTGGTATAAGCACTAAGTTGTAATAATATGAAAAATAATAACAATAACATAAAATTGAAGAGCGTTACAGATCAAAATAAAAGAGTAGTCTAGCTCTTGACGAGTACAATATGGAACAACTTAAGTAGCCTTCTGCCTATTACAAATGACAAAAAACATCATTTCCTAGCTATAACTTGGTCTAATTTTTATGAGACTTCTACTTAGAACAAAATTATTTTGGCTAAAACTGTCTGTCAGTTTCAAAAAATAATATTATTTAGGGAAATTTGCAAAAATGTCAAATTTTACATATGTCAATTCAAAAATGTCACTTTTTAATATTTTTTGCAAAAATGGCCAAATTTGATACCAAATTCTCTATTTTACCCTTAATGAAAGAATAAATAATTTCATATTACATATGTCAAATCACAATTAATGCTAGACACAGAAATGTCGAGAACAACATTTAAAGTGTAGAGAAATATCATGTTTAGAATGAAATGTCATTCTAGACATTTAATATGTCGAGAACAATGTTTGAAATGTCGAGAACATTTAATATTGTGATTTGACATATGTACTTTTGAAATATAAACGAATTCAAATATCGAGAACGACATTTGAAATGTTGAGAACTTCATTTTAATGTAACTTCTCATGAAAGCTACTTATGGATATTCTCGTCCAAATAATTGCAAAAATGGACATTGAAAAATTTTGGACATTTTTGCAAATGACAATGTCAAAATGGACATTTTTTGTAATTTCCTTAATATGTCGAGAACAATGTTTGAAATGTCGAGAACATTTAATATTGTGATTTGACATATGTACTTTTGAAATATAAACGAATTTAAATATCGAGAACGACATTTGAAATGTTGAGAACTTCATTTTAATGTAACTTCTTATGAAAGCTACTTATGGATATTCTCGTCCAAATAATTGCAAAAATGGACATTGAAAAATTTTGGACATTTTTGCAAATGACAATGTCAAAATGGACATTTTTTGTAATTTCCACTATTATTTATCATTGCCAAATTACCTTTTCCTTCATAATAATCCATCTAATAGGAAAAAAATATCCCATCATCTCCATGTAGCTGATAGTTTTCTTGTTTATAAAGAGTGGCATTCAACCTATTTACTTGTAATAATTAGAAATGGTGTTATTTCATGTTATTATAGAAAGGGAAAATAACCATTAAATGGTTTGACCAAATCTTATACGACAAAATAGAAAGAAGAAAAAAGAAATTAAAAACATTATCTAAGTTCACATTGAACATATTTCATCAAGATGGCACGCACTTGATGAGGCTATGAAAGGATGAAACATTAACCAAATTACCTGATATATATCATAGATGTGACCACTAACATTGACAAGATAAGATTTACTTAAGATGAGAAAGTAAACTAGTTCAAGTCTAAATATGTAAATACCCAATATATCTCATAGGTGCGACCTTTAACAGTGACAAGATGGGATTACTTAAGCATGCAAAAGTAAACTAGTTCAAGTCTCTGGTATAATATCACAATATTTCTATAACACAGCATAGAATTAAAAAAGGTTAACGAAATAACTGGATAAATGGTGGCAAAAAAGATTTCTTATCTTTTAAGCCATCTTGACTTATGCTACTAGTGGGAATATTTCATTATCATTGTCACATTACAAATAACATACTACAACTGTGGGAGGAAAGCTTCTTTCGTTAACCAAATAGAAAAAGTTCAATAAAGATGCACGTGGCTTTACTCACTAGCTATGACCACTCTGGACAATAACTTCAGGGGCCATCCAATATGGAGTACCCTTCATCGATTTGGCGCCGGTTACAGTAGCCTGCAATACCATTCAGATTCTAGTTATGATAACATGTTCAGCCAAAGGGAACATGGAAAGTCATAGAGAAAAGCATACCAGTGCTTCAACTTTCTTTGATGCACCAAAGTCAGCAAGTTTAATGCACCCCTTATTATCCACAAGAATGTTTGCTCCCTAATAAGAATGCATACTATCAAATTCAAAGAGTTGTCGAGCATGTAATGCATCTTCAAAGTAACATTTTGAATAAAAAGGAAGTACCTTAATGTCTCGGTGCATAATTTTATATTTGTGCAGGTATTCTAGTCCCAACAAAAGTTGTTTGGTATACATTCTAATGACCTGGATTGATGGGAAAAATAATCAAAAGAAGGTTATTAATGTATGGTTCAAAACCAACTGTTCTGCACACATTCAAGTTATTCCCTCAATTCCATTTATATAGGCCGACTTTTCTAATTTTCTTATTCCATTTATATAGTCCTGTTTCTTTAGTGAGAAAGTATTTGTTTTGTTTGTTTACTAATGTACACTTATTTAATTTGCCTAGTTATAACCAATTCCTCCCACTTAATCTTGAAATTATACAAATTTTAGTTTAGCTTCTTGGAATTATCAAAATACATACACACATTTCTCACTTTATTTACTACTAGTTATTGATAATTAAATAAGAGTAAACTAGGAAAATTCAAAATTGGTTTTTCAATAACATTAAATAAAATTTCTTAATCTGTGTGAAATAAAAAAATCAGCTAATATAAATAGGACAGATGGAGCAATAACTTGGATTTGTGATAATTTGTAAAATAGTCAACAAACTTCATTTCAACTATACATTCCAATAGACCATAAGTATTATCCATTTATCCACCGCTAATTTCAATCTATTTATCTATTAAACCGTTCATAAATTCTTCCGAAACAGAAGCTATATTTTATGCAATGATACATACATAAATTGCGCTAAAGGAAAGGTGGATATCTCAATTTTCTAACGATGTTTAATTTCACGTGGGAATCACTTACTGATTCTGGGAAAGACCCAAACTTTCCCAGGAGCGATGAAATGGATCCACCTGGAACAAATTCGAGTAATATATGCAGTGAATCTTCTTCTCTTGCAGTTCCCAAGTATCTCTGACAACAAGAAAATACATTCTAGTTAGAGATTAGGAATCAATCATCCCTACCTCCCGATCAACCAACATATAGTTTTACTCACCACAATGTTTGGATGCGAAAGATTTTTTAAAAGATTCACTTCTTTCTCAAGCTCCAAAAGCTGATCCTAACATTTTTCAATACACAAAGGAGTACATCAAATTCCTAGACTGCAGTTCAAGCTTATAAATATAAAAAATTCAGCTGAGTCTAGTGGCAGTACTTGAGCTTTCTTCGAGGCACTATTCGCCCCAATTGCAACCTGCATACGAAACAAGGCAAAAAATTACATCATTCCAAACCCTCCAAAATCAACGAAAACGCTGTTCAAGAATCCAAATTTAACTACAAACTATTGACCTCTTTGACAGCGAGTAATTCACCAGAATCAAGATTCATCCCCATGTAGACTATCCCAAATGCCCCGCACCCAATCATCTCGCCCTTCCTCCACCGGATCGATGCCTCCTTCCTCTTCACGCATTTACTCGTCCCCACTGCCTCCTTCTCCTTCGCCATTCTAGCCAATGGCACCATCTCCTCTTTCTTCCTCTTCAACGATATCTCTTCTTCCATGGCTCCCTCCATCGGCGGCAATGCCTCGTCTTCCATCATCAGCATCGGGAACTCCTCCTTCACGTACTTCCTCGTCGGCAGCGTCTCAGCCTTAGGAATTGAAGGCAGTGCATGAACCGGCGGTTTATTAAAAAGTCCGATTCGAGATTTTCGGATACTTGACCCGATTTTCTCAACAAATCCTCCTAAGCCGCTGGTTTCTTCGGCGGAGGGCTTGAACACCAAAGATCGACGAACGGAGCCGATGAAATCTTGCATCGGAAAGGGGACCAATGCAATTTACAGAAAACCTGGGGGTAAAAGTAAAAGTATTTAGAGAGAGAATCTAGGGACCAAGAGACTGAAGAGGCAAATAGGAGCGATGATCTGAAGTTTGAAAATAAAACGGTGAAAGAACTTTTATTTTGGTCCTCCCATTTTTTTTTTATTTTGGTATTTTGGGCCCTGGAATTTTGAAAGTATTGGGGAAAGTAGCCGTTATGGTATGAATATGATAAAATATAGGATCAACGGGATACGAATATCCAGAATTCAGAATCTATTAAAAGGCCGTTCAACATGGGCCGAGCCTTAGGCCCACGAGGAGAAGTTAACTGGCCCAAAATAATTTTAAGACTTAATTTTGGGGAAATTACACAAAACTATACGTTAAAAATCCAACATGCTAAAATCAAATGGCAAGTTTAACAATTCAAAAATCAGAAATTTTATTTTAATTAATATTTCTATAAAATAAATATTATTACTCACAAACCCTAACTCCCACATTTCTCCATTCTACGAAAAATCGCCGTCTCCTTCTCTCTCTCTCAACCTTTGAACAAGACCGTCCGCCGTCCGCCGCCTCACCTCTCAACATTCTCTTCGCTGCCTCATCTCTCAACCTGAGAGCGCCGACGCCGGAGTGACTCGATGCCGTCGGAGTGAAGCCCTCGCGCTCCTCCCTCTCCTCTCCTATCCTCTGATGTACTGTATCTACCCGTATCTACATGCCAGAACCACCACCGCCACCTCCTCCATCAAACGTGCGAAGCAGCCTATGAATCAGTGACTGTTGCAGTAACACCATCGCGATGTGTCTCTGGACGTGAGAGACAATCTTGCGACTTGGTGCTGCGTGTGATGTGGTTGTGTAGTGTCGTGGGCTGTGTGATGTGGTTGTGCTGGTGTTGTGTCGTGGGCTGTGGAGCGGTGGTGGTGCACGGTGGTGTAAGGGTGCGGTGGTGGTGACTTTGGTGGCGTGCGGTGCTACTGTTGGTGTGTTTGGTGGCTACGATCGTGGTCGTTTTTCGGCGGCAGTGGAGGTTATTGGTTTCGGAGTTTGGTGTGTGATGGTGTGGTTACTATGACGGTGATTTTACATTGACGTGGTGTGGGTGGTTGCTGTGATGGTGGTTTTGCATAACGGTGAGATAAAGGTGGTCGTGGCAGGTGGTGATTGGGGGTCGACGGGATGGGACGGGGTATTTATGACCAATTATTTGATTATTTGTGACCAATAAATTGGTTTGTGACTTGTAATTTATTAATTTGTGACCAATTATTTTGATATAATTTGTGATAGACAAATGAATTGTGACTGACAAATGAATTGTGACCAATTAAAATTTTGATTTTGTGACTAATCAATGAATTATGACCTAAGAAATTTTTGATTTGTGGCCGACAAATTAGATGTGACCAATAACAATTTTGATTTCGTGACCTATAAAATTTTTGATTCGTGATCGAAAAATAATATGTGACCTATAAAATTTGTGTTTGGGACTTATAATTTATTGAGTTGTGACCGAAAAATTAATCTGTGACCTATAAATTTTTTGATTCGTGATCGAAAAATAATATATGACCTATAAAATTTTTAATTTGTAACCGAAAAATAAGTTGTGACCAATAATATGATAAGTCGTGACTAAAAATTAATCCGTGACTAATTATTTTTGGATTTGTGACCAATAAACAAACTGTGACTTACAAAATTTTTGAAATGTGATCGTAAAAAAATTTGTGACATAAAATTGTTAATTTGTGACCAAAAAATAATAAGTAACTAATTATAATGTTAATTTGTGACCAAATTGTATAGATCTGTGACCTAAATATATTTAATTAATAAAATAATTAATTAACTAATTAAATTATAAATAATTTTTAATAAAAATCTGATTTTAGAAGTTTGAAACTTGTTTTCTTGTTTTTGAAATGTGCCATAATTAATTTCTTAGTTATGAAATTTTCCCCTTAATTTTCCTCAAGTAGAAATTACACTGCAACTGATTTCTAAAGAATACTATCAATAATAATATTATAAATTAATTTATACACAATATCTCCACTTTCTCTATCTCTTCTCTCTCTACCATGCTTTCCCTCTCTTAATCACTCTATCGTCTGTACCCATTCCCTTCATACTTACTATTACGACAATCGAACCACGAGTAGAGGTGTTCAAAACTAGCTTGATCACATTCATTCACCCATAAAGAATCCATCAATCTCTAATTCATGAAATTCTAATGATTGTCGAGTTTTTGCATGTTGAATTCTCTACCATTCTATGTTATTCCTGAAAGTTTGCCTTTCTTTCTTATGCTTGAGATGGCTTATGGTTAGCGAGAAATATGGGGCTGACTATCCTTCGTTAAGTAATGGGACTTGGGAGGAAAAGTGTTATTTCCTTTATTTGAAAAAAAGAAGAAGAAATAATTCGGTAGGAAGGCCTTCACCACTAGGAAGAGTCTCGAAAAGACAGAACGAGAGAAATGAGGGGAAAGACTAAGAAGAAGCAAGAGCAGGTAGTGCTGACTTGATCTAAGGTAAGCGCTAGCTTTAGCTTTCAAGTTAACCTTCCGTCTAACACTCAAGAGTAAACAGATTGGCATTACGTTATCGGATCCAAACGAGCTCAGAGCCATAGCAATTTTGTGGTGGTTTTGTGCAAATCATCTCTTTCATTTGCGTGATAGATTCTGAATCAGGTTCGCTTATGGAGGATAAAAATGAGGTAGGCTACCAAAAGTTTATTATTGATAAAATTAGATGGTTATTTGATATGGGCTTCTTCGATTTTTGGGGGATTAGTCAAATCATTTGACTGATGAAAATCAAGATATTGGTATTGTATTCCATTTGATATGATCAGTTTACTTTTCAGTCTGCTTCTCTTGTTTGGATTAGGCTTATTTTGTTATGGCTTTTCTAGTGCTTTTCTGGTAGTTTTTGAGATAATTTAAGGTGGTGGTAGTGGTCTGACAATGGTCAAATGCTCATTAGAGTATAAGGCAAATGTTGTGCTAATATCTGGTGGTGGTGTTGGGGTTGGTGGTAGATCACATGTCACAAATTATTATGCATAGGTTACTGATAAATGTCCACGAGTCATAGATTAAATTGAACTGGTCACAGATCGTGGCCTTGTTTGTGCCCCATTATTTCTTTATTAAAATGAAAAATATGATCGTTATCCATCACATTAAACCACCATATTTGACTTTTTATCTCTTGTGTAGGGCCCATAACGACTACATTTTTAATTCTCATTTTTACAATAATGTGGCTCAAACGGGGGGCCGTATCTCACATATATTTATGCACTAATAACATGTCACATATTCAAGTTCACATATCATAGTTTCATATGTTACAGGTCGCATGTCATATTGTATAGGTCATAGATCAATATTAATAGGTCATGGATCAATATTAATTGGTCACATATAGGGATGTCAATTGGGCCGGCTCGCCGACTCGGCTCATGGAAAAGAGGCTCGTGGGTGGCTCGGGCTCGTGAAATCACGAGCTCAAGCCCGAGCACGAGACGAGCGGGCCTCGCCGGGAGGCGTGCCCACGAGCGGCTCGTGGCTCGTCAAGCCAGTGACCGTTCTGGTCACTGAATTTTATTCAATGACCAAACAGTCACTGGACTTTTATTCAGTGACCGTTTGGTCACTGAATTTTATTTTATTTCCCCTCTCCTCCCTTTTTCTACTATAAATACCCCCTCCCCCCAAAGATTTTTTTCATATCAATTGCTCTTCCAAGATTACAACCCTCTCAACTCTCTTTTATTATATCAATTATCGAGTTTTTACTCTCTTGTGCTGTAAAATATACAATATCAATTCAATTTTTACAGTTTATTAGTTACAATTTCAATTCATCCAATTCTCAATTCTCACAATCTCACTACATTTATATTTATCTAGTTAAAATTTCATCATAAACAATCACAGAAATGAATCAACGTTCATTTGTTGAGAGCTTGTTTGATACAGGATACGAGCTACATCATGAAGAATCGCCTAGGACGCCCTAAAGTCAATTTCGAAATGAATTTGCCGGTCTAAATGACATACCGATACCTGAAAATGTTCACATTCACGGTTAGGGAAGCCACAATCCAATTGATTTGGATGATATTAACGTTCCCGAAGCGGAACATGAAGATGAAGATCAGCAATTAAATATCCCAAATGCGAGGGGAAAGCGAAAGGCCAAAAAAATAAGCAAAATGTTGGGATCACTTTAAGTTGATTTCAACAGAAAAAGTCGTTGATGGCCTTGCAGAATTTAAAGCAGTAACAAAGATTGACATGACAGAAAGGAATTGGTACCACTCATCTGAACCGCCACTACAAATCATGTGTAGCCAGACATGGACTTCTTCCAGCTGGTCAAACACAATTGCAATTTGGCAGTCCAGGCGCCGGTTCTACAACTTCACCCTATCCACGTGGGTGTATTCGAAGGACGATACTCGAACCGGAATAGTGAAAATTGTTGCCGCCACTGAGTTGCCTCTAGCTATTGCAGACAACCAATACTTCGTCTCGTTCGTGAAAGAATATCTACAACTGAGGTACATTGGGGTAAGTCGAAACACTCTTCGTACCGATACAATAAATTATTTCAATAATTTAAAACAACAATTAATTATGGATTTGCAACAATATGGAGGTGTTATATCCTTAACTTCTGATATATGAGAAGGGGTTAATAAAATAGCATATATAGCTGCAACCGCACACTATATAGACCCACTTTGGTGCATGCATAAGAAAATTATTGCTTTTAGAATTATTGAATTTCCTGACAATGCTAATAATATATATAATGCTATTATCAGTATTTTTAGAGAATATCATTGTGAGACTAAAATTCGATCTTTTACTTTTGATAATGCTAGTGTTGATAAGGTAGTCGTCGATAAATTGTGTAGGACACTTCAACCTGATTTTGGTGGGTATTTGTTTCATACTTGTTGTGTGTGTCATATCTTGAATTTAATTGTGCAAGATGATTTAAAACATATAAAGGATGAAGTTCAAAGGATTAGGAATGCATTAGTATATATTACGATCTCTCCTAGTAGAAAACAAGCATTTGAAGATTTTTGTGCCGAACTAAGGGTGATGATTGCTAAAACATTTGTTAGCGACGTAGGTCATAGATGGAACTCTACATACTTGCTATTAAAATCATGTGAAGGTTTCGAAAATTTAATAACTGACTTTTATAACAATAGACATGTTAGAAGTGATGACGATGGTATGTTAAATGAATCCGATTGGATTTTAGATTTGAAAGTTAAACGATTTTTGACATCTTTTTATGAGACCACAAAGATTTTATCCGGCGTTTATTATCTCACAAGCTGTATGGTGCTTGAACGCCTTTATATAATTGTAAGAACATTCCATAAATATAAAAATGATCATGCTTTTAGTGAAATTTTAATTGCTATGGAATTAAAGTTTAGAAAATTTTGGAAAAACTGCCTATGTTATTTCCTTTAGCATGCGCAATGGACCCTGATATAATATTTCGGG